AACATACATACGAGCATTCAACCATGTTCGACTTAATCTCCAAAATTTATCTAAATATATATAATAAAAAGAAACACATGCAATTCGAAATTTGTGCACGTTTTTTTTATTAATAATTATGGTTTTTCTTGGGCTAGTCGGCTCTAGACACGTTCGACCAAATCATGAGCGCTTCAAAGGGAAAACAAATTGTCATGTTCTTGGATTATGACGGAACTCTATCTCCCATAGTCGATGATCCCGATCAAGCCTTCATGTCTGAGGCGGTTAGTTAGTACACACAATTACTATAACTATATAGCTTATATCCATTATTTCAATAGCGTATGTAAATTATACCAAACAAGACATTTTTTTACGTGCGATTTTCTCAATTTGTAGATGAGAGCGACCGTGAGGAGACTCGCAAGGTGTTTTCCGACCGCTATTGTTAGCGGGAGGTGCCGGGATAAGGTGACTACAATTTTCATTTCATTTTCTTTTTTTTTTTAAAAAAAAAAAAAAGTGGTTGCTTTTAGAAGTGTGATATGTAATTGCAAATTTTGTGTAGGTTTATAGTTTTGTGCGTTTGGCGGAGCTGTATTATGCTGGAAGTCATGGCATGGACATCAAAGGCCCATCCAAAGGGTCCAAATATATGAAAGTGAGTTTTTTGTTTTATGATCTTTATTGTATTTTCCTAAGTAAATTAAAATAATATATACTATCGGCTATTATTTTTATTGAAAAGTTATTTCTTACCAAATGGTTCTCATATTTTGTTTTTTTCTTTGTTGTATTTGAAATTTGCAGAGTACTCAAGCTGTTCATTTTCAGGCAGCAAGTGAATTTCTTCCCATGATTGATGAGGTGATTTTCATTTCTTTATTTTTGTTCTTTTCAAATCTATTTCCAGGAAAATCGATTAATCGATCGATCGATCGCAAGTTCGTACAAGTATATGCAATACACTGAAAAATATATTGAAATTTCAGGTATATAAAGCCTTGTTGGAGGTGACAAAGTCTATTCCAGGTGCTCGTGTGGAGAACAACAAATTTTGTGTCTCTGTACATTTTCGTTGTGTGGATGAGAGGGTATATATTTATTTTTAATTTTTTTTTTTCGTATTTGAAAATTGAAATACTAATAATTTAACAAAAAATACTGATTTTATATATTTCCATGAAATTATAGAAATGGATTGACCTTGCGAAACAAGTTGGATCAGTGTTGGAAGAATATCCAAACCTTCGATTGACCCAAGGAAGAAAGGTACTTACGTGGCATTTTTATTATTATCATTGTTATTATTATCAATTTCTTGCATGAACAATACATAGAACATACTATATTACGATTTACTATGTACGTATTAGGATTTAGGAACACACTACATTAATGGCTAATCATTGTGATAAATACAAATTCTTATCTGATAGCGTCTAAGCAGATTAGTTGGCCAGCTTGATTCGTTCTATTTTGTATTTTAATAAAATACATGCATAAATTATGAAATACTATAATTTTATTATGTTACTTTTATATTGTACACTATAAATGTCTATTCGTTGGGCATAATTAACAACAATCTTATTGTAAAACAAAAGTATAAAGAAATTTTTTACCTGACGCACGTGCTTTGATGAGTTGTGCATCGACATACAACATCAATATAGCATTTTTTTTTTTCCGCAAAATAATTATAATAATAATGCATTGGTAAATTAATTAATATATGCAGGTGTTTGAAATCCGACCTACTATTAAATGGGACAAAGGGAAGGCCCTGGAGTTTCTGCTAGAGTCACTTGGTGAGTCAATTAACAATAATTAATCCTATGTTAAATTATTAAAGTTTTAATTAAATTAATCATCAGTTACCTCAAATGGCCTCGACATGGATTTATTTTCTAATTCATTACTTAGCATATATTAATTGGGATGATTTAATAAAATGCAATGACAATCCAAAATTTCGCAGGATATGCCAATTGTACAGATGTCTTCCCGATCTACATAGGCGATGATCGGACGGACGAGGATGCCTTTAAGGTATCCAAAGCTAATTATCACATTAATTCGCTAAATTTCTATTAGTAGGCTTTTCAAATTTCAATCTTCTATGGAAGTAAGAGTTCAAAAGTTACAATTATTAAAACTACATCCTCTTAGGTTTTAGTATAATTACATAAGAACAAAGAATCTCTTATTTGTGATTTTGTAAGATTTTTTTCCTTAACTAGGCTAAATGGTAGGTAAATTTTAAAAATCGCAATTTTTTTATGAGTCATAACGTAGAAGGGTTGACCAGATACATATTTATACTATAAATGTCATACTTTTATTTATGTTCTTTTTTTTTTTATTTATATATATTTGAAATTCAAGTTGAAAGAAGGTATGTATGTTAAAAAAAATATGATCATCTAGCTGTTAAGTTTGCCTAACAACTGGAGTTGTTAAATAAAATGAGCACTCGTGAACTTGGTTCGTTTGAAATCGAACCCGTTTAAAGTTGTTTAGTTAACGAAGATTCAAAAATAATTTTTTTTTTAATGTAATTTCCTATAATTCGACTCTTTAAAACATGATCTTGACTCGTAAAGACTCAAGTTTGACTTATTTATATTGATAAACAAGCCGAGTTTGAACTCGTTCATCGACTCATTAATTTAAACGAGTCAAACTCGACTTAGATATATAAAGGCATTACTCCTAAGTCCGGGTATTAAGAGGTCGAGTACTCGTTTACAACCCAAACCTTACTGTTTTATTTGAAATTTTCATTAAAATATACCAAGCAAATTAATTTACTTTTATTTATTTATCTAATTAGGTATTAAGAGAGAGAGAACAAGGATTTGGGATTCTTGTTTCCAAGATTCCGAAAGAGACATATGCGTCCTATTCTCTCCAAGAACCATCTGAGGTAATTAAAGAGACAAATTAATTAATTTATCAATTGATACAAAATTAATGCTTAATTAATTGTGTTTAAGTAATTAATCAAGACCATTTTCTTAATTGGTGCTATTATTATCAGGTGATGGCGTTCTTGCGGCGGTTGGTGGGCTGGAAAAGAATGTCCTTACGGCGGCAGTTTAGAATGAGAAGAAGACTTGAAGAAATCAATGTTTCTTTACTAAATAATTAAAATGTGCTTTAATTAATTTGTAGCACATATATGAATATGTATTTATTTTCTAGAATATTTATATGATATATTCTGGAGAAAATACTAAGCTTGTAATGAAAATAGGGGCAAATAACCTCAATATCAAAGNCACACGGTCACGCCCTTTATCTAAGTAACTAAACAAAGCCTTTTCTATTTATATATTTTTTTAAATCAATATGTAATACCTACATATTATCTTGAATGATGTGTTATATTAATGTTAATTAATTTATTTTTCCTTTTTCAATAACATATAATTTGATTGAAGAATCAGTTGTTGAAGTTAGAAAATGACTCAAATCAACACACAAATAAAATAGAAAACATAATAGCCACGCTAATTATTTCCCACAATGATTTAATTTGGATCAGTTAGAAATAATTACATGCAGAAAATAGACTCGGTGATAAAAAAATCTCCAATATAAGTGAAAGTTAAATGGATTTAGCTAATATAATATAAGAAAGAAAAAAAGGCTCATTGCACTCTTAAATTTATTTGTATTGAAATGATTTAACTATTTTTACTTGATTTACTAATTATCTCAATATTAGAATTAAACTCACCTTTATATCTTTTCAGTTATACATAATATTTAACCCTATAAAGGAAATAATGAATTTCCTAGCTAGTGTATTGTATTGATAAGTCTCGATTTGAACGATCCAATATGCATATGTACCTCTTAATGTTCCATTTTTCATAATGTCATGATAGAAAAATAATCCAAACACTAATCATTGAACTTGCACTTGATAGATATTAATTAGGTATGATCAGTGGAGACTCAATATTTAAGATAAAAAATCATAATTATCCCATTATGTTATCGACTAAATAATTCCTTAAAGAGCTTCTATCCATGTAAAACTAAATAAATAATGGAGTGATCATGATAATCACAAGTTAATATGTCATTAAATTGATGTGGCAAACGATTAACATGTCATACACAATAAAAATGTGGTTGAAAAATCATAAATTATAACTAGTAAGCACAAAAATAATTGATATAACTCGAGATTTTTTATTATTGTATTTGTCTAAATAGTACTGTATTGAGTGTCCGCCTATTGTAAATATATTTAATTATGATATAATTTTTATTTTATTCTCAACCATCTCAATAGTTGTGAATCTTCGAATTGAATCGAAATATAATAATCCCCAATCCATTATTGTATCATTTTTATTTATCCTAAGCTTCCAAATCGAACCGTCGATCCATTGCTAGTGGTATGAATAATTGGTTGCATTGGAGATTGACAGATTGTCATATATGTGACTTTAGCTATATATAGCTCAATAATTTAGGGGCATATGCACTTTTTGCTAATTTTAATGAAATTAATTGTGCTTCCTTGATTTAGTTATAGTTGTGTATCAGTCTCTTTTTCTGAGAATGTATTCCATGATGTGAAATGGGTGGACTTTAACTTTGAATATTCAGGCTTGACAGAGACTCTTATATATTGATAATTTCAGGTATATTATATCACTTGTTTATTGGATCTATTAAATCAAATGTCGCACTTATTCAACAATAATAATGTAATCAAATTCATTTATATTATCATCATAATTAATTACTACAGTGAATTGGAACTCGCACATTCAACTACCTAATGATGAAGATAAACTACTCAAAATCTTTTATTTTTTATTTTTTTCATACATTCTCCACCTTAAGAAGACCTCCACAAAAATCAACCAATACATAAATAAGATCATGAACCTTTATTTTATTCTTTAATTTTATTTTTCTGTTTTAGTTGGGCTTGTGAAAGTGAAACTCACCCACAATCAACTCTAAGGTCATCAGGTAAGGGAATCTAATACAAAATTGGTTGAATGTGGTGTTGGATTCCACTTATCAAGATTTTGCAAAGTATATATTTTTGTTTGGTGTGAGGAGGAANAGAACACATGGATATTTGGAAAGGGACAATAACATGCTTCCAAATTATTTGACATTCCTTATATAGACCCATCTGGATGTAGAAAAAGATGAAGTCCACTTGGGGAGTGAAATCTGAATTTAAAACAATTAAATAAAGTAAGGCCATCTCCAAGCTTCAATTATTGGTAAGCAAAATGAGAGGAGAATGAGAAATTTTTATACTTTCCATATAGCATTCAACTAATCTAACAACATATAACTAATTTATAAATTCTTATGTAGAGTGATGGAGTGGATAGTCATACTTTTCTAATAAGAATATATATTTATTTTATAAAATGTCACACTTTTGTTTGAATTCTGTTAACAGGCGTATTGTAATTAATTATACATATAAAGAATTATAGGCAAAGTAACCCAAAGAAACTATAAAATCTTCTGCTTAATTATACATGCAAAGGTAAATAATTAAAAGCCTTCTACTTTTTCTTCTCATTAGTGTTTCTTTGGCAATGATTCTAAACTTCCTTTTTAAAGAGGAATAAGATTGGTCTATGTCAAATTTAGTAGATATTGCCACGGGTCAAATCGGTCCAGAACAGGCCTAGTCAAGTTCGTTGATCGCGGGCCAAGAACCGGCTCATGGCTTTACCCTAACTGGTTCAGATTAACAAAATTATATTCTTGTGAACTATCAATTCCGGTTTATGGTTGGCTCGGTAATATGCATACTACTCATTTAAGTTCGTTGGAGCTCTGAAGTCTGGTATAGCTTCAGGAACGAGACAAATCTCAAGATTTTGTATAAGGTTTTTTGTTTAGAAATCACATCAAATCTTAAAAAGTCTTAACAAATCATAGTGTCAAATAAATTAAAGTACATCAGAATTTTGTAAGACTTTTTAAAATCTCAATTGAATACCCCATGATTTTTAAAAGTCTTACCAAATCTAAATTGAGTACACCAGAATTTTTAATGTGTTAACAAGTATTTAGAAATCTTAATTGAATACACACCTAAATTGCATGGTTTGACTCTCTTTTTTAGGCTTCTTTTGGATTTGGCTTCGATTGGTGCAAATCATATTGAACCGGAGAAAACCAAAAACCGCACATATGACAAAAAATAATCGAACTACACAGAAACACATACAAAAACAAATTGAGAATATTGTACAGAAACACACACAACTGAATCGAATCGCACCAACTGTACATACCGTCACGAATTTTCTGTTTCCGCTGGAATTTGCTCACCCTAATTTATCTCCTCATCAATTGTAAAGGGCCTATAACAAGTTTAAATTTGTTTCTCCACAATGGAGATTGAAAAGCCCATGATACTGCACATTGGGCTAGGCTTGGGGTATTTGTAAAGCCCAAAAACTTTGGATAATGTTAAAACTCAAAAGGGCCTAGTCTATTATTACTGAACAGTCAACAGAGAAAAATAAGAACATTGACTAATTTTTTAGATATGAATATGGAAATAGATTTTAGGTCATCAAATATAAATATGGCAAATATATTTTAGGGTAATTTAAATATGAATTACCTACATTATATATATTTAATTAAAATTTGAAATAAATTAGTCGGAAATAAAATAAAATTAATGGTGAAATTAAAAGACTTTCATAATGCAAACATTCAAACAATTTCTGGCAAATATTAATCTAAATATTTAAAAAAAAACACTAAAATAAAAACCTAGCACAAACAATGTTTTTCACTTTCCCTTTTGAATCAAACCAACACGAGGAAAAACACAAATGCACAACATATTGATTAATTAGTTAATCATATAATTACCGTCTCCGTCAAAACTCGGTCTCGCACACCTGATACGTTATTTTACCTGGCCCGCTCGCGAGCGAGTTTTTCACCCTAAAATCGCACGAGATTTTGACTTTCTTCCTCTCGTTCCTCACCCAGCTCCCGATCTCCATCGCCACCTCAGCCTTCAGCGCCATCCGCTTCTCCTTCCACCCGTCGGTAAGCCCCTTCTCGACCTCCCGTGTGAGGCCTGTCGGGTTCCCGGCCAGAACCACTGGGAGCCCGACGTGGGCCCCACCAGAATCCTGGCCGACCTTCCCCAGACCGATCTTGTGGCCGAGGAAGGTCAGGGCCGCCGACCCGTCTGGCCCGCCCTCGTACGAAACCGAGAGCCTCGGGTTCTTCGGGCTCCCGGCAGCTCGGAGGGTCACGTCGAATTCGGGCCTGGCCCAGGCTTTTGCGGGCCCGGCAAGGTTCTTGGCCCGAAGTCCCGCGACGGCGAAGTCGGGCGGCAAGGGGCGGTAGAGGGTGGC